ACTTCTATTAGAGGACACTTACGCTAGAGGATACATCTGTGTAAAGGACAGCTTTCATTGCCAAAATGATCATTTTTACTATTTAGCAACTCTCAAGTAAGAGGACACCTCTCTCTAAAGGACACTTTGTCTCTGCAATTAAGAATCCTTTACAGAGAGGTTCTACTGTACTCTGATTGATTGAATGCCAAGAACTTCAATTCAACCAACTATAATTCAGACATTTTTCAAATTCTCAGCAAAGTATTTGACCAACTATAATTTAACACCAACTTTTAAATTAATAGCACTTGCCTATTCCATGGGTTGTTGAATTAAAAATGGAGATTTATTATTGATCTGTTCTTAACAACAGTAAGCTTTCCTATTAAGAAATATTTAAAAAAAAAGATAATATTTATATAATCAATATTAACAAACTAATTTCCCTCTCTTTAGTATTTTCTTCTAATATATATTCTATTCTAATAAAGACTCTCAAATCTTTTTACCCCATTTACATACCTGGTGAATTGTAACTTATATGGAATATAACATTCTTATTGGGGTATAACAATGAAGATCTTTAGAAGTCCTTTATAACCTATTAATTATTAACTATAAATTTACTGATATAGTCTCTCCCCCTGTTAAATGTAACCTATGTACATATAGATACGACATGTTGGATATGTGCAATGAGAAAGATATAATAACAATTATATATGCCTTAATATGACTTCTATACATATATAGTTAAATTTAAAATTATATATAATGTTTTTTATATATTATACATAGTATTTATATTCATAGAGATATATTTTTGTATTCTTAAGAGAAAATGTATGGGTAAGTTGAAGAGATTTTTAAAGAATTAAAAAAATATAGTATTAAAAAAAAGAAGAGAAAATGTGGCAATATTTAGGTATACAGTGGTGTTTTTCTATGCCATAAGATATGGATAGGTAGGATAAGGGAAATATGTGCCAACATGGCCAACTTTTATTTCAGAGATGACTACCTTTCTCACCCAGTAATAAGATTTAATATTTTGGGTTGAAAGGTTGCCAAAATATTACGAGCTGATATGCAAAATATATTAGGTGCGGAGAATATAAACAATAAAGCAGCTATCATCTATCAAAGCTTCAAAACATCTCCCCCTATTTACATATCACTGCCGAGCAGCTCGTGTAAATTTCCCTCACTCCAGCTGTTGGCATGTTTTATAATTGACCTCGAGACTGATGTTTAAATTGCACCACCTATTCCTCTAAATTTTGCACATTACATATGTTAATATATTTATTTACTCTCTTTCATCATATGATGACCTATTTACACATGGTTAATGAGTACTTCTTCAGTCTGTTAAGTTATTTCATTGATCTTCTGAGCCTAGATTTTTCTTCCTTAACTACACCTATAGGTAAGTTTTATTATTTCATACTCTGTTTTTGTTGTTGTTGAAAAAGTATTCTTATCACCATTATTTGTTTTTGTAGTTTTCAAATTTTCTGCTGTTATCACAATATCCTTTATCTCTACCATTGTTACAAGCTCCATTGTTAAGCTAAGAACTAGTTCACAAACTCTTTTTGTTTCTCTCTTTCTGAATTCTATACATAATATATTACTTTGTGTATTTATACCTTACAATTTTAGATTAATATATTTTTTATTCTTTCTTCTTGTACAAATATATACTAAGAGTTGTAATTTATAGCCCCTATTATATGAATAAGAAAATATTGCAATCAATGATTTTAAGGCACATATATATATATATATATTTACTTGTATAATAGAACCTCAATGAGAAGACATGCTTGCTAAAGGACATTTCTTTATAAAGGACAGTTTTCATTGTCACAATTATCATTTTTATTCTTTTGATACTCTCTACCGTATAAAGACACCTCTCTTTCTAAAGGACACTTTGGCTCTACAACTATGTATATTCTACTGTGTATTTTATTATGAATAGTGATAAGGCACAATTTGGATTATAGATTATAAACACAAGATAATAAGACCAAATCCAAATAAATAGTGTGTGATGTTTCGGTAACAGTATTGTTACCATCATCAGACAATTAATTCAATACTTTTGTCTGAAGATGGTAACAACGCTGTTACTGAAACATCACACACTATTTATTTATTTTGATTTGGTCTTATTACCTTGTGTTTATTATGAATAGAAACTGTAATACTCCTCTTTACTAAGATTTATCCAACTTTTATTTCCCTCTTCCCTCTCATAAGTTGAAATGGAACACTCCATAATAGTTGGGATCTTAGAATTTACCTGATGCTACTTTTAGAATGATTCTTTTTAAGAATGAACTAATTTTTTTTATTTTTTTAAATAAAAATTGGTTGGATAATTGGGAAAAGTGTAATAATAATAATATTATTTTTTTTGTGAATAGGCTCTTAATTATATTCTGTTCTTTGTTTGTTATCTAAAAATGTTAGTTTTTTTTTTCTTTCTAGTTAACCAAGGTGTTCCTAGAACATGCAAATGTTGCCAGCTACTCACACACTAAAGTTTACTACTATAGCTCTATTATGATAATATCTAAAACATATGCTATCTATGCTGCAATATGCTATGATGTGCTCCCCTCCCTTTTCATAATAAAGAATAATAGATTATGATAAGGCACAATTTGGATTATAAACACAAGGTAATAAGACCAAATCCAAATAAATAAATAATGTGTTGTATAATAGATTAATATGTAATATAGATTAATATGTAATAATAGATTATAAGAATAAAATAAAGATATATATTCAACGTTTTATTCTTGAAATTAAAGAAATAATAATAATAATCTGTATTTTTTCACATTCACTTCTAAATATTATTGGCTATATATATTTTTCTATTTAAGAGTAAATAGGTTGTCTTTATTGGAGAAAATGATAAGTAGAGAATTACAAGGCAATAAGAACAAATCCAAATTAAAATATCATTTGGATTTGATGTTATTACCTTGTGTTTCTAATCTATATCCAATATTATTTTATTATTATAGTATTAAATTCTTTAAAAAATCTAATTTTCCTCAATATATAGATCTTGTTTTGATTCATAAATGTTAAAAGAAATATATTTTTACATTCAACTATATTTTATTATGTTTTTAGAAAAACTTTTAATTATTGTGGTTGATGATGATACTTTTAAAATCATCATTTTATGAGATTTTAACTTTTGTTTGTGTGAATAGGGTTTTATAGTTTTCATTTTTAACTTAATACTTTCCTTTGAACTCTTCATTTTAAAACTACTTGTTAACTTTTTTTTTAACACTTTGAATATTTATATTTGACTTATGACCTTGAAAATTTATATTTTGATTAATTTTTGCTTCTCATTTCTCTGACTATTTCATATTACAAAATGTGGCTTATTAATTGTTGAATACGTGTTTTAAGATAGGTTGATTTTTAAAAGCTTGTATATACTTAGTAAAAAATGGTATAAACTGTTGTTATTTCTACCCATACTATGATTTTCATGGCCTAAAAATACTATGAACACTTGTATAATTGGCAGACAAAAGAAATTACATAATTATCTTATTCTTTTAAAAAATATATATGCTCTAATGTGGTACATATTCATATAAAAATTAGAAAAAAAGGTAAATACCCATTAATATGTTTTAAAATTTTACATTTTCTTTTTTTTCTTGAAAATTCTTTTTTTTTTTTCCCTCAAATAAAATATCTAGTCACTTTAGGCACTTTTTTTTTCAGATCATATTAGAAAATGGCTTAAATAATTTTTTTTTTTTTTGAAAAAAATTTTTTTAAAAATAAATTTATATATATAATAATAATAAAATATTTTAAAACATCTTTTATGTAAAATAATTTTTAGGATTGAATGCTAAGTGTGTGAAGTGTTGTGCCTTCTTTTTTTTTTTTAAATCACTTTTGGACTGTTGACTATGTGTCTGTGATCACAATGGTACAAACTAACCCTCTTTTTTCACTCCTTTAGCAAATCATTTTTTTTTCTTTCACCCTTTTTTTTTTTTAATTTCTTACCTTTTGTTTTTGTTTACCTAACACCAACTTGTAAGACTTTTTTTTTCAGCCTTATTATGTTAGAGTACTATAAATCTTCCAATATAAGAGGGATATCTGTTTTTCTCCAATCTATAATCACGGGATTGGATAATTTCATTTTATTACATGGACTTAACCAAATTTAACCTCTCACTTTTATTACAGGATGTCTGAAAAGTCTATGTACAGTCAAAAAAGAATAGAGAATTGGAGTGTATTCATTTTATTCTAAATTTTGAATGCAACAATATAAATGCTGGAAATACCCCCCATATGATGCTCTGTATATTGTAGACCCCATATTTAGCAATGTAATTATGATGAGGCACAATTTAGATTATAGATTATAAACATAAGGTAATAAGACCAAATCCAAATAAATAAATAGTGTGTGACGTTAGGTAACAGCGTTGTTACCATCTTATTTCAGTACTTTTGTCTGAAAATGGTAACAACACTGTTACCGAAACGTCACACACTATTTATTTATTTGGATTTGGTCTTATTACCTTGTGTTTAGCGCAACATAATTAGTGCAATTTTAACACTATGTGTTGTCTTTTTTCAGACCTGTATAACAAGTAATCATATTAAAAATATAAAGTAAACAAGCCCAAATCCAAATTAATAAATTGATTTTACCTTATGTTTAAAATCTATATTCCAAATTTTGTGCCTAATAAAGTAATTCTATTGGTTCTGTATTTTATAATCTGATTCTTTACTGCATGGATTTAATTTAAACTCTGAACTTAACATTCAACAAGTAATGGTTTTTAGTTTTGATTTCATTCTTTTATTTATTTTTTACTATATGAACTTAATCAAGTATTTATATTGGTTCTGTGTTTTATATTACATGGACTCTCTTAACGGAAATATCTTTATTCACGGGGCTGCTAACCAAAATGAATGATTTTTAAAAAAGCTGGCCCATGGGGGGTTCGAACCCATGACCTTCGCGTTATTAGCCTGACACTCTAACCAACTGAGCTAATGGGCCGATAAAAGAACTCTCTTAAGTTAACCCAACTTAATTTAAAATATTAAAATAATAATTATATAACAATATGTAATAAAATATCATGATGAAAACTCCCCTCCTGCAGCAATAGATGGAAAAAAGAGATAAAACTTGCGATTGGAAGATTTAACCATGTGTGTTAAAACTTATCTTTTAAATATCTTTTCTATCTCTGAATTTAAGAAAATAGATGTGAGAAAAAAGAACTCACCCTTTTATAATGCCGTGTTTTCTCAACTTCTTGAAATAGAGGAGAGCTTCAGATCCTGAACTCTTTTTAAAAATTCTTTTTTTTTTTTTTTGCTTATCCCTAGTATACATGGTACACACATATGAAAAGCAGTTCGACTTTGCACTTACAAATTTAAAATATAATCTTCAAGTGATAGCATCAACATTGATATTCACTTTGGAATTCTTCAGCTCATAGGAAGAATAACTTCTTAGTTCCATTTTGAAGTCTAAAATTAGGATCTGAAGTTCTCTCCTCTATTTCATGAAGTTAAGAAAAAATTATTTTTATATTATATAAAGGTTATATAGATATATGAATATCTTTTCCTATATATTTTTTTGTTATTGATAATTTATAAATAAAAAAATAAAATCTATTTATTACATTGCTATCTACGATTAAAAATAAAAATACTTTTTCATTTTCAAAGCTATGCTTTTTTTTAAACCATACATACAACTATTGTAAAAAATATATATATTTAAAAAATTTTATTTTTATATATAAACTTATGTATTTAAATATAGAATTCTATAAATAGAGCAATATATTTATATATAAAAATAATTATTATATATTTTTTTAATAATGTGAAATTAATATATATAATAAATATATTTCTTTTAATATTATCTTTATGGTGACTAAAATATTTTCTTTTTTTTTAATAGAAAAAATTTTAATGCAATTTTTTTATTATATAAAAAAAAAACCTCTCAAAATGACGATGCAATTTATTGCAATAAATTTAGTCTTTTGTTATTTTATTTTCCTTTTCTGATTGTTTTTTTTTTTCACAACAGTAGTGTAAATGTAGTTTGAAAAATTATTTTTAAAACATATATTTTCTATGCAACTTTTTAAATATAAATATAACTCCAAGGCAAGATATTAATATTTAATAAATATAATATTTTATAAACCTTTTAAATTTTATATAGATTATTTTATATACCAAAAAGTGCCTTCTTTGAATAAAAACAAAATATATAAACTATCTTGTATAACTTAAAAAAAAATATAATTATATATACACAAGGTAATAAGACCAAATCCAAATAAATAAATAATTATATATATTTATATCATTTTATTAAATCAGAATTTTTATGCATTTTGCCTTGGAATTAAAAAAAAAGAAACTTTGTTTTTTTAGAAATGTCTATTATTGTTTGTTATATAAGTGACTAATATTTTAGAAACTTTTTTTTCCCTCTTCAAATGTATTTTATATAGTTTATCAAAAAATCATTTTCACCATTTCTTTTTAATTTATAATATTTTTTTGTTGAAAAATGCAAATAAATTATTTTTAAAGAGTAATTTTTTTTCTTGATTATTTTTTTTTCTCTCTTTGATAACATTAGAACCTTTTGTGATTGTCCACCCTTCCCAATGGATATTCTTTGGAAGAAGTCATTTTATTTATTTATTTCAAAACACAATACGCCCGGCTAGGGATAATTGTGTCGATTTACATTTTTTTAAAACAGAAACAGTTATAAACATATTATACAAGAAAAAGTAATCAAAATAAAAAGAGAAACAATAATATATATTAGGAACCTCAACCTTTCAGGTTTGAAAGATAATCATAAATATATCTACAAAATTTCAAGAAGTCATTTTAAGAAAGTTGAATAGTTAGTCAGAGAGATTTTGTTAAAAGGTATAACAAACCCAAATTGATACAAATTAATTTATACATGTGTTTATTTTTATTATTAAATATATTCTCTTATTATCCCATTGTATAATTATACAAGGTCATGGAGACTATATTCATAGATCAAATTCACAATCTTGGTAGGGTTGGAATATAGGTCCTGTCTTGAGGTTCCCATACATTCCAAGAAGTGGTCTGGTGAGGCCTCTCTGGTTCTGCAGATGGTGCATTGTGGGAACATCTTTACACCATCCTGGAAAAGGAGCAGTCTTATAATTATTATCAATATCAAATAAGACACAATATCCCAACAAGAGATAATTGCATTAAAGAATATCACTATATACAATATCAAAAATAAAAAAGGCATATCCTGACCAGGAGCACATATGCTTTTCATTTTTTATTTTTTTCTATTGTTTTTTCATACAATATCAAGTTTATTACATTTTCAATTTAGAGAAAATTACAAAGTTTCAAAAAGAAAAATAATTTAAGATAGTAGTTACTGTTTAAAGTTAGAAAGAAATAAGAATTTAAGAAAAAAAAAATTTAGAATATAATATATATCCTATATACACCAAGGAATGAAAACCAAGTTTGAATCTATAATTTGAATATGGAAAAGATAGAGGCTGCCTGACTGGCATTCATAGTTTTTAAAAATGAAGATACTTCAGCCAGTAAATCTTTTTATTATCTCAACATTTCAACAAAATGTTTTGTCCTTGTCAAGAGCAAATAAAAATTAAAGCATTTGGCAAAGCACTAAAAATTATTCAAAATAGTTATTCTAAATAATTTTTAACGCCTTACCAAATGCTTTAATTTTTAGATGCTCCTGACAAGGACAAAAGATTTTATCGAAACGTCAAGATAATAAAAAGATTTATACCGGCCGAAGTATCTTCAATTTTGATAAAGCTATCTTCAATTTAAAGAACAAAAATTTGAAGTTATAAAGGAAAATAATAAAATAGTAACATGTTTCTTCCTATTAAGTATCTTGTAATAATTTATCTATAATCTCCAAATATTGAGCCTTATCAATCACACAATAACAAAACCAAATATGTAAATTATATGTAACACCATAGTGTGTGTGTGTGTGTTAGTAGATAAAATGAAGTACACTGAGTAAATATAATAAATATTAAATAAATTTCAGTTCATTAATTCAACACTTGGTATAATTCAATCCTCATAAAATCCCAACAAGTTATCAACTTTAATTTAAATTTATAATTATAATTGTAAATTATAATTAAAAAAAGGAAGCACTTTTCTTGTGGGGTGTTGAATTAAAAGAGGTTTGACACACTATTATAAACTTCCTTATATATATGTGATAAGATCCTGTCGACTTTCAATATGGCAATGTAATAATAATGTGGGGAAAGAGAAATAATCACACCACAATTTGGTAGATGAACCCAGACAACCAGAGAGAGAGAGAGATGGGGGGGAACAGCCGGCCTGCCCGCCGCTGAGCTGAGCACACAATCACCAACTGTCTTAATTAGTCCTGAGGTTCCAAGTAACGCCCCTGTGGTCGCCCCCTGGAATGTCGCTGGTGTCTCAAATGACTGGACTTTAGCTGCTGTCTCTCTCTGGGCTGACTCTAGGTTTACTTTATTATTCCTGGAAGAGTAATATTATGACATATATATATGAAAAAAATAAAAAATAAAAGATAAAAAGGTCAGGTGTTGAAATCAAAAATAAAAATGGCATATCCTGACCAGGAGCACATGGCAGAGCGCCATCTTGGGTTGGCCAAATATCAGGGAACAGGATAAATCAATGTTTAGTTGATTTCTGCTCCACCAGATGGCGCTCTGCCTTCTGTAAAGCACATGTGCTCCTGGTCAGGATATGCCTTTTTTATTTTTGATATATATAATTAAATGCTATATATTGATATTTGTTACTCTTCTCCATCAAAACTACTGAATGAATCATTAAAATGTTTCACAAAATTATCTGAAGATATAGTTTAACATGTAGATGAGTCGATAAGGCACAATTTGGATTATAGATTATAAACACAAGGTAATAAGACCAAATCCAATTATTTGGATTTGGTCTTATTACCTTGTGTTTATGTAGATGAGTCAAAAATAACAAATTTTATTTCATTTTTAAAAGTGGCTTATTAACTATTTATCACAATTGATGAATTTAAAAACTATATTTTTGGGAACACCAATACTTTTTAGGGTAGAAACAGCAAACTTAAAATCTTATATAAGAGATTACTACATTGTAGTACGTTTTCTTTTATTTCAAATATAAATGGGGATAGCTTTTGAATAAATCAGCTCTTCTATGGGTCATTTGGATAAAGTAAATCTGATTAATTCACAGCTGGATGTGATGAGACATTGTATGGCACTATTGATCCTTAATAGACCTTAGGATATATATACACTCATGAACAAAACTTGAGGAAGTTGTACCTTTTAACATGTATATCGGGAATCAGACAATAACTCTGAAAGATATTACAGTGTTCTTTATTGAAGACAATGGTACATACACTCATGAACAAAACTTGAGGAAGTTGTACCTTTTAACATGTATATCGGGATTTCAGACAATAACTCTGAAAGATATTACAGTGATCTTTATTGAAGACAATGGTACATACACTCATGAACAAAACTTGAAGGTGTACCTTTTAACATGCATATCGGGATTTCAGATAATAATTCTGAAAGATATTACATTAACACCTTTATTGAAGACACGGGATAAGAAAGTGTGAACATAATTGCCTATATTAAAAATGGCATATCCTGACCAGGAGCACATGTGCTTTACAGAAGGCAGAGCGCCATCTGGTGGAACAGAAATCAACTAAACATTGATTTAGCCTGTTCCCTGATATTTGGCCAACCCAATTTCTTGATAAATCAAGAAAAGCCATCCACGAACGCGTTTCGCGCTTTTGGCGCTCGTCAGCGTGGAGTAGGCTGAACCATTGCGACCAAAAATATTTTTTGATCCCAATGGCTTCCCGAAAAACCAAGAAATGGGTATTTATGGCCAAACTTGCGTAAATACGCTTAGCACATT